CTTTTGCACATTGATGTTTCTCTCCCTCTAACCCTCTCTTCTCTCTCCAAAAATAAACAAAAATAACATCTTTTTAGAAAAAAGAAAAGCAAAGCAAAAAATTTTCCAGCACCTTCCAAAAAGACTTTCATTTGTATCTCACTGAACAGACCTGAATAACGTGGCCATTGTTAGTCTGGAAGATGACCAATTTAGTTTCTCCAACCTCTGTAGTAAACCATGGCAAGGAAATAGGAGTTTGGGAAAGGTTGTTGGGTTGGCTAAATAGCAATCAATATCTGCTATAGAACTTTCAATCATAGATTCACATGCAGCCATTTTCCTATTAATACTGCAAAGGCATACAACATGGAGACTGTAAGTTACTAATCAACTTTCAAACATGGTATTTGAAAACTTTTTAAAGCTGGTTAATGATATGTAAAGCCAGGCTCTACTCATTTCTATTGAATATTCAAATTAGTGCCACTACAAGGAGATCAGAAAGCTGCTCATAAATCAAAAGTAGCTCTTTGTTAGGAAAAAAAGAAAAAAGCCTGAGTTATCCATCATCAACTCTTAAGCCAGTGACTGTTAAAGTTTATAGACTGAGACTAATTAGTAAGGATTTGATGTTATATCATAATCCAGAATACACATACACACAAACATGTTTCATAAAATAATGCCTATTCTTATTATACGGTACATTCTAATATTTTCTATTGCATTTAACCCATTTCTAAAAAGTTAGTTATGACCCACTACATTCATTTCACCACCCACTAGTGGGCCGTGGCCTGTAGTTTGAAAAGCACTATTGTATGCAAAGGCCAGGAACAACATTTTTCCAGGTGAAGGAAAGAATAGGTGCAAAAACCCTGAGTCTGGAGCCCCTGGCACCTGAGAAAGGCTGGTGTGGCTGGAGCCCACTGGGTGGGGAATGAGGTGGGACATGTGAAAGCAGGGGCCTGTTGTGGAGTCTGCCTTCTGCGGTAGAAGTTTGGAATTTATTTATTTATTTTATTTAAAGATTTTATTTTTTTATTTATTTTTAGAGAAGGAGGGGAGGGAGATAGAGAGAGAGAAACATCAATGTGCGGTTGCTGGGGTCATGGCCTGCAACCCAGGCATGTGTCCTGACTGGGAATCGAACCTGCGACACTTTGGTTCCCAGCCCGCGTTCAATCCACTGAGCTACGCCAGCCAGGGTGGAATTTATTTTTATTCTAATAGCAGCTCCCCCGGTTTCAGCAGGAGAGTAGCATACTATGATCTATTTTCTAAAATAGTTTCTCCTGACCTCATGAAGAGCCTAAAGATGATTCCAGAATAACCTCATTTTCTCTACATTTGCAAGCTGTCTGGAATGACTTTAAGGCCCACCACAGAGGATGCTCTCACTCTCCCCCACATTCACTCAGTCACACTCATTTCCGGATTCCTTCCCCACCACGTGCACTCCCATCCGCTGCTGAGCTCCTCCGGAGGACATGGTCTTGCAGAAATACTGAAATTGGAAATTCTCCTTCTATCAAGTTCAGAACTTACATGTATTGTCCTCCTGTCACTAAAACCCACAGAGTTGCTATATTTGCCAGCCACACTGACTAGCTGCTGACGAGAGTCATGCACACCCAGACGTTTTTTCCCTGATTTGCAATGTGGACACCTGGAAGGACATCTCTGAATTTCCTCAACAGGCTCCTCGAAGCTTGAAAGCATATCTTCTCTTCCAGCGGGGGTCTCCCTGTCTGCTGGGACAGCTGCAGTGCCTGCTGTTGGGAGCTGCCCCAGCAGGTCTAAGTCCCTGAGTCACACAGACTGAAAGGAAGCCGGGAGGGGGTGCGTAAGAGGAGACAAGCAGATTTCCCAGGGCTGGGCCTCCTCCTTGGCCAGTCCCCAGGAGATGAGTTCCAGCTGCTTTTCCTTTTTTAATCTTCCTCCTCTCCCACTCCGCTCTCCAGTTGGGCCCCCAATCCCTCCCTCTTCTGGCCTGCCCCCAAGCCATACAAGATTTCGGGTGGAAAATATCACTGTGAAAAGAGAGGAATCCAGGGACTGGAAAGCTGAACAGCAGAGAGGAATGTCTCCTCTCCTTGAGGCCTGTTCCCCGGATCTGTGAGCTCTGGTTTGGGGAAAGGCTAGGGGGTGCAGCAAACACAGTCAAACTCATTTCCTTCAGCCAGTTAATGTCCTCACCTCTCTCTGTCCCCCAGCTCCCCATCCCACACTCCTGACTTGCCCGCATCTGTGGAGAACAACCAACCAGATCTCTTTTATTTACTTGTGGTTTCCAAAATAGATACTTTCAGGGCCTGAAGTAAAGATGCTTTTAGGGAAGGGAAAGAGGAGGGAGAGGAGGAGGAGGGAAAGAAGAGGTGACTTTGAAAAGTGGAGAGCTAGCAAGTCAATACATTGTAGTGGCCCCAGGCTCCAGATGCACATCAAACCCAGTATCCAATCCTATCTCTGCCACGTACTCATTGTGTGAATTAGGGTTGGCAATTTTAACCTCTCTGAGCCTCTGTCTACGTACCCATAAAATAGGCTTATTTGTAGCTGCTTTCAAGGCTGAATACTAATGGAATTCTTTATACGATTATTATCTACTCTAGGAAATGCTTGATAAATAATATTAATTATAATAGGTTAGTAGTATTCATGTAAAAAGAATAGCCAGCAGGGCTTTTGAAAGAAAGAAAACAGAAGAGGAGCTATTGAGGAACTTCAGAAACACAGGCCATAAGTGTAACACTGTATACACAGTGTTCAGCAGAAGTAACGCCTGCTTGAGTGGGGTTGGTAGGGTAATAATAGGGGTGAAATAATTCATAGTTTGAACATTCCACCTAAAATGTCATATGGTGTGCTTGAGTGTGATATTGTTACATTACAGAATTACATGCTTATGATTTTGTAATAAAAAGTGGGCATTATTTGTGCTGGACCCTGTGCATTTAAATATCAGATTTGGCAGTTCCCAGAGGCTCTCCTATCTCTTATCAATCATGATCTTTACAAGTGGATGAAGTATGGAAGATGAGTAGATGTGTTTATTCCATTTCACAGGTGAAATTCAGGCCTAGGAGGTAATAACAAGATCATAAATGTAGAAGTACTTGGTATATTGCAACATAGTACCAAAAAACCCCCCCAACAGATTGTTTCTGGGGTTTTGTTGTCATATGAACTGACAGTACCCAAAACCCAAGTGTCTTCAGTGTTTTCTGCACTGGATCTCAAACCTAGACTAATGTGTGAAGAGAATGTCCCAAGTGTTGGCAGATGGAAGAAGCCTCAGGTATGAGCTTGATGATTTATACGGTTGTGTCTTTAGCACTGGATACAAGCACCGAGGGCCATGAGAAGGAGGGGACAAGCTAGAAAGACTAAGACCAATCCAATGATATCTGAAGATTGTAGCCATTATGACAATAGATGTACAATGGGAGATAAACATAACGAATCTACCAACACCACAAATTAAATAATGGAAATATTTCCCGAATGGAAATCCTTTGGAAGGCAAATCAAGCTTAGAAACAAAGAAACCATTCCCAATGACATAAAATTAGGGGGTTGCATTTTATTATCCCCCAAAACTAAAGGGTCTTAATCCACCCTTTCAAGCACTGAAAATGATGGCTTGGATTTCAACCAGGAAGACCACATAACTGGCTCTGAATCCCAGTCAGTGATTTTGCTAATAAGAACCAAGGGAAGCAAACCAAATGTGGGTTACTCGCTGAAAAAAATATAAATCAGTAATCAGACTTGCACAGGAAGATGCCAGAAGTAAACCAGCTGCACATCTGGTCCTACATTCTCACTGGAAGTTTTCTGAGTGCCATTTTTTTCTTAAAAAAAAATCAACCTACTCTTCTGAGTCTTCTTTGTATAAAATTAAAACCGATATTTCTTTTAGGCTATATTGCAATCACCTTAAACTCAACATGTCCAAAAATAGAAAATAGGACTCCCTGTTTCCCCAACAAACACACTGTCCCTCCGCATCTCAGGAGCAGCACTCTCATTCACCCCATCACCCAAACCAGAAGCCTGGATGTCCTCCTCGGGTGCCCTTTTTCCTTACATTGCCCTTTCTGTAGGTCACTAAGCACTGTTAACCTTTCTCAAATCCCTACACTTCTCTCCACTTCTTCCAGTTCACCTGGAGTGCTGAGTGATGGCCATGAAGGTCTCAGACTTATGCTGTGCCTGAAGTGTTCCCACAGCACCCAGCAGCAACGACCCACTCTACCCAGCTGTCCCCAGCTCTCTCTCCTCCCCCCACCCCAAGACTAGCACTGAGGAACAAGGAAAAGGAACTGAGGAGATAGGCAAAGGACAAAGGGCATATCAGTGACTCAGTAGGTAAGGAGGCAACAATGTCATGGTCATGTGCTGCTTCTCTGCAGCCTCTTAGCAATTACAGCTATTTTAAAGTGTGCAGTTCTGTGATGAATACATTCACATACTTGTGCAGCCACCACAACCATTCACCTGCAGAACTTTCCATCTTCCCAAACTGAAACTCTGTGCCCATTAAACACTAGCTCCCCATTCTCCCCTCCCCCTCAGCTCCAGGCAGCCACTGTTCTACTCTTCGTCTCTTATGGATTTAACTGCCCCGGACACTTTGTAGGTGGAACCACGCATTATTGTCCTTTTGTGCCTGGCATATTTCATGTAGCATCATGTCTTCAAGGTTCACCCAAACTGTAGTATGCGTTGGAATTTCATTCTTTTTAAAGGCTGAATAATATTCTATTGTATATATAGACCACATTTTGTTTATCCACTCACCAACCTTTGTGGTGTTGACATTTTTTTCTATTGCGAATAACACTGCTATGAACATTGGTGTGCGATGATCTTTTCAATACTTTCAGGTATATACACAGAAGTACAATTGCTGAATCATATAGTGTAATTGTCTTATGACTTCTTACCTCACAACCAGACTATGAACTCTTAAGAGACAAAGATTGAGTCTTGACACAAATATTTGAATGACTGATCATTAACCCTAGTAAAAAGGATTTTGTAAGAGACTGAAAGTTAAGGAGATAAAGGATGGGGAGGCCAGGAGGGGTTTGGGGCCTTCAAAAGGCTCAGATCCGGACTAAATTTACAAAGCCTTGATTAGGATCTTCAGTGGGTGAGAAGGCAGCCAGCTGGAGGAGGGGGCGGTGCTCCCAGGGAGCTCTGTCACTGTGGGTAGGCTCACAGGCTCTGGAGCCAGGCCATCCGGATCCACCGCCTGGCTCTGCCACTGCCTGGGTTCGAGACCTTCAGCACATTATTTAACTTTTCTCTGTAAAATGGGGATGATAGTGATTAGTTCACAGGGCCATCATGACATTTAAATGAGTTATCACACAAAACACTTAAAATAGGGCACATAGAATGCACTCAACAAATGCTAGCATTATTAACAAAATCAGTGGTGGATAAAGACCAGACTTAGAGTGTGGGTTAAGTCTGGAATCTCAGGAAAGCACCACTTGCGCCAAGGGGCCCGCTTTCACGTGGCCCATTTGGTTGGGAAAGTCAGCGTTATTTAGCACCTGCTTAGTGCCAGGCCTCATTGTTATTATTAGGTGTTATTATTAGTATAGATTATTCACATTTCAGAGGTGTAAAAAATGAGGTGCAGAGATGTTCAATAACTTCCCCAAGATACATGTTTACCAAGTACCTAAGACTAGTTTCACATCTAATCTCAAAGGAAAATGGGTCACGGAGTGAAATACAGGGAGAAAACATCCCAGCTGCATTCAGAAGCCATGCTAGGGTGAATGTGGCTGCTTTCAAGAGGAGAGGAAAAGCCTTGTGAACCATTCTTATGGGGAACGGAGCTGCTAACTCCCAGGACAGCACTTTACATGGGCCTCTGACCCAGCAGAGCTTTCTAGGGGAACCCTGACTCCCCGCATCTACACCTGCTGTAACACACAGGGCCAGGAATTGGGACCGTATTCCCTGTGGCAGAGATGGCCACTTGCTCCCCTTCTATTCCCTTCCTCCTAATCATTGAACTGTGACTGTATCTGGGCACCTGATCACCTAGTAAAGATTACATTTCCCAGCCTCCTTGGAGCCCGGTGTTCTCATGATTGTATTCTGGTCAATGGAGTATTTAGTTAAAGAGTTGTTTGTCAATATCAGAAACCTCAAAAGGAAGTGGCATGACCTTTTTGCCTCTTTCTATGTCCCCTCAGATATGTGGCTAGAGTTCCAGCTGCTGTCTTGGACACGGGGGACCACACCCTAGGAACGGTGGTACAGAGAGCTGAGAAGGGCCTGAACTCTGGACCTATTCGTGCCTGGAGCATCTTCATCTGGAGTGCTTTTATGTGGGAGAGAGAAGCTTTACCTTGCTGAAACCACTATTAGTTTGGATTTCCTGTCACATTGTCTGTTAACTGAGTCTCCATGTGCCATCTATTCAATAGAACCCACTTCTGGTGTTTGCACGATTGGGCTGTCCCATGCTCCAACCCAGTTTGAGGGATGTTGCTCTACCTTCCAGAAGGAGAGAAGAAGATAGACTAGTTTCCAAATATGCTCCTTAACCTCAGTTATCTTTCAGCATCTTCTTTTGGACAAAGGTTGGTAGCCACGGGACCGACAACTCTGTCAGTCTGTCTACTTAGCAGAAAAATAAAACGGTTTCCCCAGTGCAGTGACTCTCAGGAAAGAAGCCACCTCTATGAAGCCAACCATTCTAACTTTGATGACTGAAGAGCGACATGAGTAAGATGTTATTCATAAAACTGAAAAAAATGTTACTAAGTGGGTGCAATTCTTTTAGCTTTGATCTATATCCTATTTTCCCCTTGGAAAATAAATGTAATTTATTTGAGAAGCCAACTTTTATAACCAAGCCTGTAACCATTTGTTTTCATTTATTCATTCCATTCAAAATATTGTCATTCATTTACTCATTCAACATGTGTTAGTTAGTATTTTGAAGTGAAAAGTTTTTTAAAAAGCACTGAAGTAGAACACCTTTTCCCATCATTTCAGACACTTGAGGGACAAAAATGCAGAAGCCTCAGCCCCTGACGGTGCACGAAATGCACGGGTTTGTTGAAAAGAGCACTAACACCCAGGAAGGAACTAGAGCCAACGACCCAGACTGGGCTGGGACTTTCCTGCTAAAAGCTGCTCAAATATAGGGCATATGTTACCTATGTGAATGTAAAGGCTCTGTTAAGTTTTTTTAAGTGGTTTCCCAGGGGAGGGGGGAAAGTGGGTAACTGGGTTGGGCTAGAGGAACAGGCCTCCTCAAACTCACCTCCGAAGTGCCATTCTACCTGCTGAAAGTTCTCGGCCATTTTAACAATCTCTCGTCCCCTAAACATCTTTCCTCTGGGAAGTCTGCTGCTGTCCCCTCCAACCAGAGGGTAAGCCGCTTGGTGCTTCAGAGCCTAAAGAATAAAGTTAGGTCTGTGGGGAGGAGGGTTAATGAAATAATTTCTAAAACCCCCAAAGGGTTAATGATCTCACAGTCACAAGAATTACTATCATTTATTTGAGCACTTACTAACGTGCCAGATAATTTAGGCATGTTAGTGCCTAAATTACAGTCTCATGTGACTGTAATAACAACTGCAAGAGATGTATATTCTTATCTTGTCCATTTCGCAGATGAGAAAATGCAGACATGGAGAGTTCAATAGCATGCTCAAGTTCACAGAAAAGTGGCAGAACCCAGGACTATCAAACTGTAAAGTCCATGTTCTTAATGCACATTTGTTAGGTACAGATGCCACACTCTCTAATCCATTTTCCTTGTTTTGTAACCATTTATATAAATGTCTTTCCAAAATATGAATTCCTTTGGAGACAGACAATATTTTTACCATTTTTATAACACTCTCTGCTTAGAACACAATCCTGGCACACAGTAGGTGCTCAAATGTTTAGTTAATGAGCTATATCAGTCACCACAAATAATCAGAAGCACACTGCATACTCACCAAGTGCGCACAGAGATTTTGCACCTTTCTATTGCTCTGCCCTGTAATTATCGGGGAACATGTCTCCGAATACAGCACAGCTTTTCTCCATATTTACTGAGCACCTCCTAAAAGTCAAGTACTGTGCTTGGTCCTTTAAAACATACAAAAACAATTAAGACATAGCTATTATTCTGGAGCCTTGAGTTTATGAGACGAGATAGACACATAAACAAATGAGTTGACTGCAAAACCAATTGCAATAGGAGGTAAGGTGGAGACATAAATATAACACTTCATTGAATTTGACACCACTGATTGGAAGACGCATCATTATTTTAAGTTATTACTAAGAAATAAAATTATCACTAATTAAACTATACATATCATTGACTTGAAGATATATCCTTATTTCAGAGATATTAAAAATGTTTTTATAAAATGTGCCCTTGAATGAAGTTCTGATACATGCCGTAACATGGATAGACCTTGGAAACATTATGCTAAATGAAAGCAGCCAGTCACAAAAGACCACAAATAGTATGATTCAATTTCTGTGAAATATCCTGAATGGGCAAATCTTTAGAGACAGAAGATAGATTAGTGCTTGCAAAGATAGAGCTGGAGAAGACTGGGGGTTGGTGAGTGATGGCTAAAGAGTATGGGAATTTTTGGGGGGAAGGAGGTGATGAAAATATTCTAGAAGTGATTACAGGGATGGTTGCAAAATTCTGAGTATGCTAAAAGCCATTGGACTGTACACTTTACATGGGTGAATTGGCACTGGCTGGTGTGGCTCAGTGGACCGAGCACTGGCCTGTGGACCAAAAGTTTGCCAGTTTGATTCCTAGTCAGGGCACATGCCTGGGTTGGGGCATGCAAGAGGCAACTGGTAGATGTTTCTCTTGCACATGGATGTTCCTCTTCCTCTCTTTCTGCCTCCCCTCTCTTTAAAAATAAATAAATAAGATCTTTTAAAATAATAAAAATAAATGGGTGAATTGTATGGTACATGAATTATATCTCAATATAGCTGTTATCAACAAAAATGTGTCCATTAGAATTGAGAAAGTACAATAAAAGCTCAATGGGAGGGCAGGGGCTGGGGGAGAGATTAGGTCAGATGGGGAAGGATCTAGGGAAGCTTTGCGGGGTGGGCATCGACACTAGAATATGGTAGGAATTGTGCCACACAGAAAGAGACGATGGGGTGGGGGAAGGGGATCCAGGAAGAAGTACAGATTAAGCAAAGTCTGGGAGGCCAGGATGCTGGATAAAGTACAAGCAAAAACTTCAGGAAAGGAGCAGCAGTTGGAGGAAAGGCCCGAAGGCAGCCGGACACACAGGGAAGCAGGCATCAAAGCCCAGGCTACCAGCTGTGCCTCTTTCAATGTGTAAAGAGAAGCTTTGAAATTTTTCCCAATGCCAATCTTTCAAACTGGCAATTCCATACACCAAAAGAATGTATTAGTAAGGCTTTCCTTCTAGCCTCAGAGCACTGTTACTGACCTGGCAGGCAGCAAAATCCCCTTTGGAACTTGGAGCCAAATGACAAAAAGATTAGAAAGGCAAAGGGCACTGCCACCGGAAGTGTGGTGTTTAAACAGATGCTGGGAAGAACCAGGGTTTCTGGCAGGGAGCCCTGAAATTCCAAAGGTCACATCAGCAGAGCCAGGAAGCTGAAAGCAAGAAGTCATCATTGTGCTAGGAGTCACACGGGAGGGATGAGAATTGCATTTCTCCTCCAAAGGGGATGAAAACGGAGAACCGAATGAAGTGGGGAGAAGGAAGTGTGCAGAGTAACAGGAAGGAAAACAGTTGGCCCCCCGAGGCTGAAGGGAGCCAACGAATTAAAGAAGGAGCCCCTCACTGCCATTTGTGAGCTGGAGCCTGAATCTGTCTGCCCTGAGCTGAGAAGAGGCATGTGCCCTTTGGCCAGGGTCCAAAGCAGGCACAGACCAGGGTTCGGAAGGCACACTCGCCACCACTCCCCTGAGCCCTGCAGCCTGAGTGCCCTCTTCCTGACCCTGTTCAGGAAGGGGATCCAGGCAGCGCTGCTAATTTAGTGGACTCCAGGGAGGAAGGTGGAGGGGTGTGGAGAGGTAGGAGCACCGTAGGGTGCACAGCAGCCAGGAATCCCCAGGTCGGTGTGCCAGATCTTTCGCAGGAGACAGCCGCATTAATAAACAGAAGAAAATGACGAGGCCCACCTGGGTCTGTCTGCCTTTTAGCCCATTTCTTCCATTTCCGGTAAAGCCTTCATGAGTTTTAAGTGAGCCAATTATTCAATTTAAATAATATAAACAGGACAGTCCATTCTCATCATTCCCCAAAATGCTGACACAGTTCCTAGACGCACAAAGGACTGTGACCTCAGAAAAGCCACGTTAGAGGGCCATGACCTCATGAGCATGCTCTGACCTTCTTCCTCAAAGGAAATGGCCTTTCTTTTAGAATAACAGTGTTCAGCTCTTCAGTTCAGAGCCCAGTGGCGGGCAGAAAATGGAAGCTACCGGCAGTATGTGCTAAATGAAAGCGTTTATTTACCTGGAGTGTAAACCCATCCACCACTACAAAGAGTTGGAAGCCATTGAATTGCAGCCTGTGCCTGTTAGTACTCACTGCCCTTGGAGATTAAGTGCTGACAGACGTCATGCAGTCTGGGTTTTTCCAAACAAAATCTGAAACCCTCTCTTCTTGAGCTGTACCCGTGTACCCATCAAGAGCAGTAACAGGAAGAACTGCTTGGCCAAGCCTGCAGATCTGATAAGGCTCTCGCTTTCTACCTTAAGGTCAAAAGAGGTCTGTACTCTGCCTCCTTACTGAATCCGAGCTCAGCTCTGCTCTTCTTAGCCTGGAGGCTATGACACCTGGGCTCTAGTTCCAGCTGAAGCCATAAGGTAAGGAAGGGTAGAGTCAAGGAATCTTGCTCTGGAAGGGCTATGGGGTTTTTTAAGCAATGTGAATAGCAGTGAGTGTTCCTGTCATAATAATAGCAGGCAGAGCTGAATGTGGGCTTGGAGGATGTTGTGAAATCCACTTGAGCTCAGCTCCAGGCAAAAAGCATAAGGACCTACTCGCTCAGATCTTCTGATTCTGTCAGGTTTGGGATCAGTGCACAAACCTGCATTTTAAAAAGCATCCCAGATCATCCTTCCAGAAATATTAAAGCGGAAGCTATGGAACACCGTCACAACTCCTGAGACTTACCCTTTTATCCTCTGCAGAGAGCACTGCTCCTAGGTAAGCTGCCCAAACCTGCCACATACCTCTGTTTAATCTGACACTGCACAAATCTTTCCTACACCTCACACACAGTCTGAAGTCATTCTGGTGGACACCAAAAGGTGTAGCTTCTATCCCTTTCTAGGGGCAATTTCCTCCCCCTAGAGTGTCAGCCCCTTTGTTTGCACCAGTCAAAGTTATTCCTATATCCTCAAGGCTCAAAGGAAGGTTCCTTGATCGTCTCAAACCACAGTAATTCCTTATACAATTTCTATTTACTCTCCATACCATCCATATGATACTCATCTTGTTTGTTTGTTTATTCTTTGTGGTCATTTCTACACATACCTATTCTCCCTGCTAGACGGAGGTCCCAAATGGCAGAGGCCATGTGCTATGTCATCCATACTACCTATTTTTTGGATATATATGTCACAAAGGAAAACAACCCCCCTAGAACTCAGGGCTAGAACAAATCAAGTTACTTCTTCAGTGGATACCTGTTGGTTTTGCCTGCCTGGAACCCATCCACCTTCTTCTGGTAACAGCATCATTATCTTACACTCACTCCCAATTCATACACAAAAACATGATCTCCGGAGTGGTCAAGTAGCCGAGGTCAAGACAATCCGGGCATTCCTTCTCCCTGGACACCGTGATGGGCATGGTGATGGGCACGTCGCCCCAGCCAGGCCAATGAGATTTCACTACAGTAGTTTTATTGAACTATTGAGAACAAGAGAAACTTTTTTCCAACTGGACTTGAAACTGGGAGGGTACCTGCTTGGAGCTGGTAGCAGCCACCACCTGACAACAGCCTCCTTGAAGATGATGCAGACGTGAAGTACAGTGACCCCAAGGACAGGCAATGACACAGTTGGAACCCTCGGATGTGGTTTCTGTCTCAGAAACTTTGAAATTACATAAATCAATGAATTCTGTGTTGGGTTTTCCATCCTTCATAATTTAAAAAAAACACTGCTTAATGAATCCTCTAAAATGTCAATCAGTATAATCTATATACTCAAAGTGAAGGTGATTGGCAAGCTTCCTGTCAAAGTATGATGGAATAATTTGACTATGCTCCAACTTCAGTAAAGAAAAAAAATGGGTATTTCCAGGGAGTTGGGAAAAGAATACTGTGATAATTTACTGAGTAGAAACACAGTGGATTATACAGTAGCCTGAATTGTGGCCTAATTGTGAACAGGAGAAAGAGGGATCATGGGACCCACCAAATTACAAACCATCCAACGTGCATTTAGGCTCAGATAGGAAGGCAAGGGGCCTTGGCTGATGGACTCAAGTACTGGCAGGTCTGTGCCTGCTGCAGATCAGTCAGCTGCAGCCTCTTGTTCAGACTTCAAAGTTCAATACGAGCAACTTTGTGATAATTTCCCCTTAACGCTGTGTCCAGAGAGGAAATACGTTTATCCCATCAACATCCAAGCTGCATAACAGTCTGAGAACTCATACACAAATAATTTGACTTTCTGGTTTTCACACCAGACACTGTAAGCTTGGTGAATTTGAAATTTCCTCTTGCGGTGTGAGGACAAAATCAAATTTCTGTCCCAGGACACTGAGGGCCAAATCCCAGACAAAGTTGAGTTCATCCTGCAAGTCCTCCTTGTTCCAGTGTCCGTAATTTATTGTGAAACATTGCAGCATTTACAATGTGACATTGCATGCTTGTTTCTCAAGTTAAGCCCAAACCCTGGAACTAACCAGGAAAGTGCACTGGAGGGGCTGGCAGCCAGCATCGCGCTGTCCAGTGCCTGGCTCCAGAGCCAGTCTCTGCATCACCATACCTCAGCCAACAACCACTGAGCTTCCAGTAAGGGTAGTCAGCGTCAGAGACAGGTTTTAATTAGAGAGCGCCTGACATTTTAATACATATGACTGATACTAAAAATAGGCTTTCAGGG